GAACATCACATTGTTATATGTATGGCTCCTGTGCTGCTGATTTTGTAGGCTAACAGTAGCCAGTTTGAAAATTAGAAATATAAAGAGAACCGTGAGCAGACCTGTCTGCAACCAACAACAAAAGCAAAGTGCCTGCTGTATGAGTTTTAACTGAGTTCATAGGAAAACAAAAAGAGAAGTCCCCCAGATTTTCTCTGCCTGTGCAATGTCCAGGATTTGGTACCTTGTTTGTAGTCTGCGGATCCCCATTGCCAGCAAATTGAGGAGGGACCACCTGTTACAGTAAATGTTCATGAACCTTGCAAATAAAAATAAACAGTTAAAAAAACCCCAAACCCTTAACAGCTTGTAACAGCTGCCACATTCCACCCAGGAGAAATCTTTATGCTAATGGAATCTGACAGGATCTACATTAGAGATCTACACATATGCAAATTAAAAAAAAAATGAAAGAAAAAGAAGAAAAAAGAAAAAAAAAGAGAAACATAATAACTCTTTTGGGCTCCTCTGGGTAGCGGGTGTTTTATGTAAGGTGTTTGTCATTGTTCTCACTCTTGTAGTTTACATTCTTTGATACCTTTGAGTAAAACATTTGTTGAGTGCATGAGCTGCATGATATGGCCAAGGACTAAACTGAGCTCTTTTTGTTTTGTTGGTTAAATAAGGGAAGCAGTAGCCCTGCTGTGCTGCAGCTGCAGAGAAAATTCTGCTAAAGATCCATGTATGAAGTTGTTTAGAAAATTACTGTCTTCTAATATCTCACATACCAGTTTGCCTCTTGTACCAGACTGATGAAAAAGCAGGGAATGTACATGAGGAATACTAGGCAGCTGAGCTTTAGAAAGAAGTTGGGCAGTAGCAGCTTACAGTTTGTGTAACAGTGCTCTGGTCCCTGGACACATAATGTTGGAGCAGGAAGCTGTTTAGAGTTATTTTCCATCATCTTGGGGCACTCAGCAGGGATGCTGACCTCAGAGTCACCATGCTTGTGAGAATGGTGTTTTCCTTCCTATCTGCCAACAAGAAGCCTGGGAATTTGTGGATCAAAAGAAATTATGAGCTGAGGATTTCCAGGGCAATCCACAGATAGTAGAAATGGGAAAAGGATTAAGGAAAGAAAAGTCCAAACAATTTTAATGTTCCTCTGTAATGTCAGCAACAGCCATGGTATTGTCAGGAGCTCTGAAAATGACCCTGTGGTCTTGTTGGTAGGCTCAAAGGTTGCTGAAAGGGCTGAGAAATTTCCTCTCTTCCAGGTCCAACATATTCAAACTGCAGTAGCTGGGTATGTGGTCAGTGTGGTAAGAAGGGATGATAGGAAGCCACCCAACAGGGTATTCAACATGGTGACTTTTGTACAAGGCATCTCATTAAGCAAAGGCAAATAATTTTATCTTGTCTCTTCAGACCTAGGAGAAATTATAGGGATCTTATCTTCCTCAGAAATCCTTTTTTTTGTCCTTGAGTTAAACAGAGTATGTAGCACCAGTCACAGTCTGCTCCTCAGGGTGTTCACAGTCATGTTCTATTTGGAAGTTTCAGGAGCTACTCCCTAACTCCTCTCTGCTTACACCAACATAAAGTAGAAGTAATGTCTTTGAGTTTAATGAAGTCACGCTCCGCTGAAGTTGGCGCATGAAGAAAACCAAGCTCCCCGTCTGAATGCTGAAGAAAACTCAGATCTTCTTCCTGTCTTGTTTCCTTGTGAGCAAGTATGTGCAGCAGAGCTGTGCTAGCTGCCAGCTGCCACAGTTAAGTACCATAGTTTAGGACTTATTCACCCTGTACCCCTCTGTGTTGCTCAGTTACAGATGTTCACACCTGTCTCTTGATCAAGTCAGAATCCTAACACATGTAAGGAACTCTAGTTAAGAGTCACAGAGTCTTATAGAGCTGGATGTCATTAGGAAGGATTTTCTTATGTTAGATACACTTAACCTCCCTGAATTCCCCAGGTCTGTAATGAACTCAGTGTCTCCAACTGTCTGACACCATTCCAGCAGGTTTAGCTGAGGAAAGGCTGAAGAAAGCACAAGCCCCATGTAGGTGCCTATTGAGGCTGAACTTAGAGCAGCAACACTACTGACTATCCCCTGCCCGATTCCAAAACTGGATGAAGGAGAGGTGCCTGCTGTTCTGTGCTTTAATTTGGGGGTAATTATCAACCATATTTCAGGGCACAAAATAATAGTCCTTGGAAGAAAAGAGCTCTTTCATCTTTTGTGTGGCAGTGCATGGTTGGGTAGATGCTGGCTTATCAACCATTAGTAAATTCCTTTTGCAATTTTTGATTTGTGCTAGCATGGCAAATTATACCCAGGGTTGTGGCTTTCCTTCCACTTCCATCATTGTCAAACCCTCCCTCTAAAAGTCTGTAAAGTCAGTGGAGTGGTATCAACATAAAATCAGTGAGAAGGACTTAAGACTCCTGATCTTTAATTTTCTGCAGCATGCAATTTGGTCAATTCCCAGGGATCCCCAAGGCTCCAGACACATACCCAGTTTAAAAGGCTGTCCAGGAAGTGCTGGAATGATGAAGGACAGCACCTAGCCAAGTGCCATCTGTTGGCCATTTACCATACTGCTTCAGAGAATGCACAGTTTCTGAGTGCCATAGATGGTATGGCATAAACCAGTCTCTTTAGATTCAAACTTGCAGTTTAGTATCCCATTTCAGGAGGAAGACTCCATAATGGAAGCTTTTCCCTAGGTCCAGAGAGTGTAGTTTAACTTTTCTTTCTTAGGACCTCAGAGATGTAAGGCTTTTGGGTAACAGTTCAGCACATGAGTAGGTGTACAAAAAGTTCTTAGTGTGATTTGTGAAGCATACTGTTTTCTATTGAAGAATAAAGTGATTAATCATTACTAGGAAAAAAATGTCCTAAACATAGTGACTCTTACTCAGGCTTACCTGCTCCTACCCTTTGAGGTGGAATAATTGCAGCTAAAGGAAGCAGATAAGTATCGCTTTGCCTCTGCATCACTGGGCTCCTGAAGCAGGGAGCAAATGTTTCATCCCCTCTGTTCTCTCAGATTAATTATCTGTTGTAATCACAGAACCCCATGAGGTTATCTCATATTATCTTGAATAAGCTTGTATCCAAGACATCAGTTTTGGGTGTAGTACTGGTCTCCATTAACAATCCTCTGTTGGTAGGTTTGTGCTATGCCTGTAGACAGATGGACCTGTTACTGCTTCAACCTAACTTGGAAGTCAGTGGAAGACATAAGACTCCATATGTAGAATGGATTGAAAGCAATACATACCAAACATTTCTAATGTCCTACAGAATTTCTACATTGTAGTGGCAGATTGTTTAAATAATTGGCAAAGATTACCGAAAACATCCTTCAAGCAAAAATCTTCACTATCCCGTGATTTATAGCTTAGGGTTCTCACAGAAGAGAAATGTCTCCTGATAGCACTTATCAGCCATATACTTCTTGTCCATGCCACTGCAGCAGTATGAATTTTCCAGAAATGTTTCCATGTAGCAGGAGGCAGGGTTGGTGGTTCTTCAGGTGGCATCTTCTCCCTGAGCCTTTTCTTAACTGTAGCCCTCTGCACTGATGTGCAAGCTGCTCCAGGAGACACTGTCTCTCAGAAGCACTGTAAATCTGAGACTTGGCCTTCATGACTAAGAGTTTCTTGCATTTGCTTGGTATGGAAATAATTTCAGCTGGGGTGGTATAATCACATTTTTAACAGAGATTGTTACTTTTTGTCTCCTTATGTTTCCCCTGCAGTCAGAGATATCTCTTTCTTTCTTAAAGTGCAGAGAATACATACAAATAGATGTTTTAGTGTTCCTCTGGGATGCTTGTACTTATGTGATCAATTAGGACATTCTAAGCTATTGTTTTTGTACCTTTTGAAATCCACAGAGCTCTTCTTGAGACATTTGACTGAGTGCTTCGCATCACTATATTCCTCTGTCAATCAGCTATATAAAACTACTGCAAATTTGTTAAAAATCAGGTCTGAAATATAAACACATTGCTTTTTAGAATGTATTGTGAATTATTTTGATGTAATGTGAGCGTGTATCCTGTTGCAAAATAGCTGCTAGTTGCATAATTGCATCTTATCCCTCCTGTATGAGAACTAGGACCATATATATACACACCATACCTACCTAATGCATACGTGAGATACTTTTGCAAAGAAATGGCCATCTGACTCAACATGCCAACCTGGACTTTTAAATGAGTGAAAACACTTTCTTGTTTGTTTGCTTATTTTTGGAGCAAGCCTTCTTCTCCCTCATAAAAAGAGGTGGTTGTCTCATATGCTTTTTTCAGTAATTCATTTCAATTGCTTTCCTTGATAACATGTTCCATATGTCTACTATCTCCCTTTTTTGTCCTTCAGTAGCCTAGAGCATTTTCTTCACCAAAAGCTGCATGGTTATTTTCCCAGGAAATATCACTGTTCCAAAAAAGATATTATAGGAGCAAACAAAACACATTTCCAAAATGGTGCTGCCAAATAGCAAAATGAAAAAAATGTTCATTATTTTTGATGACAAGCATATTAAGAGGAAAAAACTGTGTTGTTTAAAAATAACCAACTCTTCAATAGTAGTGTGTGAGGATATTCAATTAAATGGAATGTTGTTTTTCCAATGAGACCATCTAATCTTGGATTGAAACTATGGGTTGAATTATTGTTGGGGTTTTTTTTTGTTTTCATTTCTATTTTTTTTTAATCTATATTTTTTCCTCCATTCCCATCATTGCTTGTTACTATTTATATTTTATGTTGCGGGTCCTTTTTCCAGCTGTTTCTAAAACTACAAAAATGCCAGATGTCATGTTGGAAACCCAAAGCCCCAAATCAGGCCATAAATCACAACAAACCATAAATATATATCTTTATATATGTAAAATATATATATATAAAAGGCCATTGTACTGTTCTGTGGGTCTTCCCTTGTTGGCCTTTTACCCCTCACAGCAGGTAGAACTGAAGTGTCTTACCTGGTGTGTTTACTTTGCAGACTCAGAGCAGAGCACTGGGTCAGACACAGAGGTGCTGGCAGAAAGGACATCCTGCTCATTTGGCTCTCATTCTGACCTTACATCTGGTGGCTCAGGCCCTCAGCCTCCTCCACCTTCATCCATGGAAGAGATCCAGGTAGAGCTGCAGTGTGCTGACCTCTGGAAAAGATTTCATGACATTGGGACCGAGATGATCATCACAAAAGCAGGCAGGTAAGATATCTTTGGCTTTTTATCTAGTTCAAACAACCAACCAAAAACATCATATGAAAACACTTTTGTAAGAAAGAAACATTTTTTTTCTTCAGGATAAGACAAACGAATAAATATGTAGGAGAGATTAAAAGGCTGTCATAGTTTCACAGCTGTATATTCTACTAGCTTTCTTAAGACAAGTAAAGTTGTTTCATATTACTGCTTGGATCACTGGCTCCAAAGGAGAACTGTCAGCTGCAGGACACTGTTGAAGATAGTCTTTTCTTTGAGCAAATAAATCAGGAAATGATCATTGTACTGTTGGCTGTACTGAACTTGAGAAGAGTTATGAATTTGGGGGTAAGCTATTTGAGTTTCCTTTCAAGTTCCCATAGCACTTCATGAGCCAGTTGATTTAATTTCGAATATAGTGAAATTCAAGCTCACCTTTGCACCAAACATCTTCCTGTAATTCTAAATAGACAAAATATTAATGACTTCCTGTATAAAAAATGTGCAGGCTTAATGTTTCTCTCTACTACTGCAATGACACCATGTCAGCTGAGGTTAGGAACAGCCACAAATAAACCAGATTTGTTTAAAAAGAAAACCTCACCCTGCCATGCTGTTAGCCAGTGGTAAGATCTTCATTGCTGACCGTTTGCCAAAAGCACATCTGGAAGCTAGTTGTGAGTTTCTGGATTCCTTAAACTGGGAATTTTAGCTGTGTTTGGTTCATGTCACGTTCCTTCCATCCACCTAATGGTGTTAATGCCCATCAATGCTGTGATGAAAAGCGTCAGCACCACGGACAGCGCCGGCCACCGCGACTAGACCACGTGACCGTCCCAGGAGCTGTTCTGCCCCTTCCGCAGGCTCGCACAAAGGAATTTACCCCAAATTTTGGGGGAAAATATGCCGTTCATAACTTTGTTCCATGTCTGTGCTCTCAGGAATTGCCAGAACAGCTAGACTTGTTTCATTTTCTTGTGAAATGAGCACTATTGCTCTGTAGCCCCAGGAAGTCCAAGTAACTCGAGGAAGTTGTGTCAGCTATATCCCTGAAGATTATCAGAGACAGATTAGCTCCCAGTTTTAGATGTATGATCTCACTGGCACAGCAAGCATTTTCCATCACTACAGACTGGGCTGCTGCCTCAAATGCAAGAGGCAAAGTAATAAGACTTATAACACTTGTTATTCTGCATCACCTTTTCTCTGGGGATGTCAAAGCAGGCACAGAGAAAATTATTACTATTATCCTCTTTTCGTAGGGGGTGAAATTGAGACCTAAACAGATTAAGTGATCTGTCCAGCATCATTAAATGTGACACTGGCAGAACCAACTTTCTTGCTTCTTTCTTGCTTTATTGTCCTGGTGTTATTTCTGGACATGCTGTCTCAGAAACTTAAAATAATATATTGCTACCCACTGGATTATCTATAATGATTTCTCTTACAATACATGGAGTTGACTTAACAGCAACATAAATACCTCAAAGCCACCAACACCAATGCACATTAAAATGCCCTGAGCTTAGTGGTATGAAGATGATTTTGGCAGCTCATACATTTCTGAATGAAGTAGCAGACCATAAAGGGATCTTAAAAAGCTAAACCTTGACTACGGGGTCTTGGTTTTGTTTTAAAGTCATCAAAAAAGTTGCAATATGAATGCCACTGTGATATTTCAAATAGTTCAATGCAAATTCTCACAAAAGCCTTGGCAGCATTCACAGAGGTCCCGGAGAAGGAAGCGTTCATGGAAAAAAATACAGTGAAATGTGCTGGGGAGATATAGCATAATGATAAATCCAAAAATGGAAATATTTCTATTTGGTCAGACTGATGCACATATACAAAAAAAATTTTGTAGTTCCTTCAAAGTTTTTAGGAAATTACAATATTAAATACATTGTTGGTCTTTGGCTGTGGTTTTTTTTAGTTGAAATTTGTCATTTGTCTTCAATTTATAAACTCTTATGTGTTGATTTGAACTATGTATTTTGACATGTTTGATATAAAACTATTGTTCTGATATCTATGAATTGAATTTTTTCATGTCAGCTGTGGTTCATGGAACTTGCCATTCCTGTTGCCTTTTTGACAAGTAGGTTTCCCACATCACATACCATCGTAACAAACAATAGGTACATATCCCTAATTACACAGTAGTAACAGGAAGCTGATTAAGAATTTCTGTGAGATGCACATAGTTCCTTCAATGTGGGTGCTTGATGCACCTGAATTACAATTCCAGTGAAGCACCATGCCAGGAAAAATGAGACCCATTTAGTAAAGAAGCATCCCAAACCAAAACATCGAGATGCACTGTCTCTCCTTCCCACTTTTTCTCTTTGTTTCAACCTGGACAAGAAAAAAACTTTGATTTTCTTAGATTTTAGCTCAAAGATTTTGGTTTTCATGTTCCCACGACATTTTGGAGGAGACACGCTTATGCTCTGAGGAAAACCTCAGTCTGCAGTTTATAATGAAATA